CGGGAGCAACACCGAGGCTTGCAATCCCGTTGCCGGTCCCCGGTCCGGTACGGGGGCAACACTGAGGGTTGCGATCCGTTGCCGGACACGGAAAAAAGACAAAAGACAAAAAAAAAAAAAAAAAAAAAATTTTGTTTTTCTGGAAAACGAAATTTGTTTTATGAAAAAAATTGTTTTTATCTGAAATTATCCCACGTAAATTGAAAACAGTATGTATTTTATTTTACTTAACTTTACCTAAAGGTTCTTTAACCTTTTTCTTCACTTATTTATTCATTTTTGCAAAAACATTTATAAACTTCTTACATTCCATGCACTGTGCTAGGTGTTGGGATACAGAGATGAATGTGACTGTGCCCCTGACTTCAATATCTCCAGGTTTACTAGGAAAGTCAAGTGGGTGTTCTGAGCTGCAAACAGTGTAACCCGTGCTCTAGTGGAGGGACTCACACAATACTAATGGGGAAAAGGCACAGGCAACATTTCAAAAGCAGTCTATTTCTAAGCAGAACTGAAAGAAATACCAAAGCCTGACGTCAGGGTTTACTTTACACATGTCATTTTAGTTTCCTTACCAATGATTTAAGGGGAACTTAACACTACACCCCAGAGATCATGGGGTTTTTCAGACTTATATCTGTTTCCAGCCAATCACAGGGCTAGGAACACTTCTTGTGTGTAATATGTCAGTCAGCTAGTGAGTACCCCACATCGGAGAGGAAGAGGTAGGTGATGTAGGGTTTGAGAAACAAAAACTGCCCCCTCCCACTTGTCTACAGTGGAATGGCTCTCCACACAGCCACTCTGCTCAGTACAGGACACGCATCTGAAGGTTACCTGAGGATGGGGCAGGGTGAGAGCTGTGCTGCCATGGTGACAGCACCATAGGATTTGGTGCCAGACGGGAGATGGGGCACTCAGGGCACTTTCTCAGGGCACACAGCTGGAAGATGTCTGGGAGTAATGACAGGCACATTGGTGCCTTCCACTCAGTACACACCTATCTCACTATATGAAGCTATGAGGTTTTCCAGTTCCCATCCTGAGTGAGAATCAGAGGCATATGTGGTATCCCAATGGTCTGGTTGGAATTTCCCGAGGGAGTAGGGAATACAGGCATGGTAAGGGATACATAAGCACATTCATATTGAAAAAGATCCAGAGGCAGGTACACTGAGGAGTTTTCTCTGCATATGTGGTATCCCAATGGTCTGGTTGGAATTTCCCGAGGGAGTAGGGAATATAGGCATGGTAAGAGATACATAAGCACATTCATATTGAAAAAGATCCAGAGGCAGGTACACTGAGGAGTTTTCTCTCCCCCCGCCTTTTTTCTTTTTTGTGCTCCAGAGAGTACCATATTAGAGGAAAAAAGGGAACTGCTGTATATGCCTTTGCTTGCATTATATAATCAGAGTTTATATGTCAAACGGATAGTTACTGAATAGCCCCCCCCCCCGCTTGTCTCACCTCAATTCTTGTCAGAAATAGGTCTAAAACTTTCACATAATTATCTACCCTTATTTAAAATCAAAATCTCCATAGATCAGCTGATGGCTGCAGTTCCAATGTCTTTGATCGAATCTACTGGCTTCTCTGAAGCACATATGTGTGACAACGATACAGAAACGCAGGAAATGACTACTGAATACTCAGAGGTTCTGCAGCTTCCGTCCATTCCTCACATGATTTCCATTTTAGATTTTGAGCAGCTCTCCCTCCCCATGCGCTATGAAATAGAAAGGTCTTGCTGAATGGTCCAAATGAAATAAGGTTCCTTCACCGCATGGGATTAGAAACAGAGGAGTGGTCCTCTCCCCCTCCCCCCCGCCCCTTGCAACCCTAGAAATCGCGACTTTTGCAGAAAAAAGCCCAAGCAGGGAGTCTGGACCCGCAGACGGTGCGGGGAACTAGCGCCTCTGCAAAGCCCAGAAATGCCAGCGACAGGCCGGCGGAGGCGCGAGGTACAGCGGAGTTGTCCCTGAGGCTGATTGCGACAGCTCCAGCAGGGCAGCGATTGCTTCGGAAGGAAGAGGCAATGAGGGTCCCTCCCGTCCTTCAGGTCTCCCGAGGTCGATTCCCAGTGGCACCCAAAGCAGGGATGGGGCTCCGAAATCCGGCAAGTTCTAGGAATGGAGCGAGGGGAGCTAGTGTCTTACCTGGCCGGGCTGGCTGGTGTAGTTGAAGGAGTAGATGTTCTCGGTGCTCGGGCTCACCACCCCGCTGTAGACGTGATCGAAATCCGCGCCCCTGGCAGGGTCGCTGGGCTCGCGGCGCGGTGCGGGAGTCTGAGTCGGGGGCTTTGAGGGGTGCCCGGGCGCCGCCGCCCGCAGGAGCCAGGGCAGCGCGCAGAGCAGCGCAAGCCGCGGGCAGCCGTGCATGGTGGGCGCCGCGCCCCGGCCCCGAAGCAGAGCCACGCTGGGGAGGGGGCGAGTGCAGGAGCTGGTCCTTCCAGAGCCTGGTGCAGGGCCGGGCGCCGGCTTTCTCGCAGCGCGGCGATGCCTGGCAAGCCCCGCCGGTGTGTGCTGGTAGCGCGCTGGCGAAGGGCCGATCAAATATTGATGCTGCTGCCTGGGGTCTCCTAGGGTGGTCACGGGTAGAAAGTAGGGGGGACGGGAGATGTGGGGGCTGAGAGTTGCTGCTTTCTTCTCCAGCTTCTAAATCCCACCTTTCTCATCACCGAGAATCCCCCATGTGCCCAGCCAGAATTTCGGCCGATCTCTTCTTTCTGAACCTCAACAATAAAAGCATTGGAAATATTAAAAAGAAATATGCACTAGTCTCGAAGAATTAACCTGACCAGCTATCGAGGAGGAAATTCGGTCCGTTTCAAGTAAACGTGCTCCCTGACCGCAGGCGAAGAAATAGAAAGCAAAAGAGCCTGTTCCCCAAGAGGGTGCACGAGTTTGCTTTTCCAGGCTGCTACCTGCTGAATATCTGTTGTTCTCTACTCTCCCTTTTCTAATAGAACCCTTTCTCAGACACCTGTTTTATGTCCTTATTACCTCATATTCTCCACGAAGAGCTTCACGTCATCACGTTCTCTCTCCCTGGTCATATGTGTATGAATGTAAATATGTACAGTCATAAAAAAATAGATATGGTGAAGAGGACAATTTCCAGCACCACCTGAAGTCTGGTCCCGGAAGTTGTCAAAGACGACTCAGTAACTAGATATGTGCAGAATGCATTTCTTTCCACCCCAGCCTCTTGCCTACTTTACTTCTGCAATGACTTCTTTCAGATTCTAGGAGAATCCGTGGGATTCTAAAGTGTTTCTAAAAAGACAGAAACCACAGCCCATCATAAAAAGAAAATACCCTTCTAGCAAAAATTAGGGGATTGGATTTAAATAGTTAAAGAGGCAGGTAAGGAGTGGGCGAGAAGAGGATCCATCGGAAGTCCTCGGAGAACATTAAACAAAGATTTAGGTGTCCAAGAGGACTCACTGATGTATTTGTTTCAAGTTATTTGTAAGCTAGAAAAGAATATAATTGTGTTCAACCTGAAGGAATATTAAAAAAGAAGCCACAAAGAAGAAAAAGATCTTATTCAAAGATTTAATATTACAGATTAAATCCTACTATTTACCATTTAAAAGAAGGTAGGATTTAAAAAAATTTTTTACCTCATTGAATTCTTACAATTTATTAAAACATCAAAAATGAATGCAATACATCGGTATAAAATCTTATAACTGTGCAATCAGAAAACAATGCTAATGAAAGTTTGTCATTAGGACAATTTTCACTTAAAAAAAATGTTCCTGAAAACACTTGGGCGTATGGGCAAAAATGCTGATTCAAAGAAGAGTCTAGGGTTAAAATTTAAAACAGAGCTAACCGTTTTTAAGAAACATAACATAATAGTTTCATCTAGAATATAAATGACTTTAAACTGCTGTACTGAAAAGATTCAAAGAAGAGTCTAGGGTTAAAATTTAAAACAGAGCTAACCGTTTTAAAGAAACATAACATAATAGTTTCATCTAGAATATAAATGACTTTAAACTGCTGTACTGAAAATGTTTATGCTTCTTTTCAAACTTTAACAAGATTTCATAAACTTAAAATTTATGAAGGCTTTCAAGTTTAGCTGGCATGGTCAGTTCAAGCACTCTGTGGAGATGTAGGATCATGGAGTCCTACTTAAATACTATAAGAGGTGAGAAACTGGCTCTTTCACTTTCTTTTGGGGGCAAGTGTCTCATGATTAGAAAGATATTTCACATTCTTTATTGAGATCTCCCTCTCTTCCACTTACTTGCACTAGTTCTACTCTCTAGAGTCGTAGGAATAAACCTAATCCTTCTTCCACATGACAGCCTTGTAGGCATTTGAAGGGAGCTATAACTCTTCTTTCAAAATTTTATCCTAAATTTAAGCTATGAAATTAGAAGCAATTGGGGCAGATCCTTTATCATGGTATGAAACCCAAAATATTTATTTTAAACCATTACAGGTGATGTCTATACCAGACGATTTAAGCTATATATTACAAACAACTCTGTATTATGATCTAATCCTGATTGCAACCCAAATCCATTTAGGAAATAAACCTCTCAGGATCACAATGTTGTTGTAAGGATAAAAGGGAGAAATATGCATTTGAAAGTACATAAAAAGTTTATAGTATTGTATGAACAAATATTGCTTTTGCATGACTGCTAGCTTCGTAGCTAAAAAATGAAATATCATCCCCCAGGCAGGTGTTTTTTAGTATCTACAATGCCAAGATTCCACTGTGAGAAACAACATACAAATGGGCAATGGCCAGACCATATGGCGATACAACTATGACCCACACGTTCTGCAGTTCAGGAAACCAAACCATAACCTCTGCAGCAAATGATCCAGAACAGTTAGGACTTGGCCAATGAGTTAGCTTCTCCAATTTTTGCCCCTGCTTCCAATTCAAGAGCGATTAGAGGAAGCCAAATATGCTTCCCAACTGATAAAATGCTCCACTTCTAGTTATCCTGCCTTCAGCTTCTCCACGCCAAGATCTAATCAGAGCATACCTGAAAATCTCCCCTTTTTTCCCACTGTAAAGCTTTCTCACCCCCCTACCTGCATTTGAGTCTCTGCAAACACAGTGATGGTGGCTAGCTCCCTTGCTATAGCAAGCTCTGAATAAATAGCATCTGTTTGCTTTCATATGTACGATCTTCATTTATTTCCTTAGTTTTCCTGAAGCTTCCACAGAGATACTGTCTGCACTGCCTGTCACCATGGACTCCAGTTCTCTACTGGGTGTGGTGCCCACCTAGGTCCCTTGTTCCTTGCTACACACAGTTTGTTGAGCATGCACTGACATGTTAGGTCAGTATGGGGCCTGAAATCTGCTCTTTTTGCTTTTGAGTTCTGTGGCTTTCTAGTCTCCTTTTGATACCCGGATTTTATTATCAGTTTCCATTTGTTTGGCATCATTGGTGGAATCAGGCCGTTTCTTTTCATCTCTTTTTGCTCGCTTTTTTTGCTTCTGTTTTGTGTTGTACTTCTAAGAAGTGCTGTCATGGAGTAGAACACAGGTATAGGCCCTATAAGCCCTTGTTTTGAGCTTGCTTCATTGACCCATGTGGTTTTCACTCAACTAGAATTCATTCAGACAAACTTTGCTGCAGGTCACCAGTAAAAGCAAATAAGACTACCCTTGGATTTAGAATTTTATCCCTAGAGTTGGGCTTTTTTCTTTTCTCTCTTTCTCTTTTTTAAATAACAGATTCCTTGATATATAATTTGTATGTATATCATATAATTCACTTCTTTAAAATGGCTTTTCACTTTCAACGGTTCTTTGTATACTCACAGAATTATGCAACCATCACCACAATCATTTTTAGAACATTTTTGTCATCCCCAAAAGAAATCCCATACCTGTTAACAGTTACTCTCCGTTTCTCCCCAACCATTCCAGCCCCAAGCAAACAATCTACTTTATGTCTCTATGAATTTGACTATTCTGGACATTCCATAGAAATGAAATCATACAATATGCGGTCTTTTGTGACTGGCTTTTTTTACTTAATATAATATTTTCAAGGTACATCCATGTCGTACCATGTATCAGTACTCCATTCCTTTTTTTTCTTGAATGAATCAGTGCTTTATTTATTTTTTATTGAAACATAGTTAATTGTACATATCTGTGGGGTACACAGTTGAATATCAATACCTGTGTGCAATACATGATGCTCAAATCAGGATAATTAATATATTCAACATTATACAATGTAATAGTTTTTCATGGTGATTTACTAATTCCTCCCTTACCCCGCTTCCCCCTCTCTTTCCCACCTCTGGTAACCTCAGTTCTGTTCTCTTCTTTTGAAAGTTCAACGCATTACTGGGATTTTTTTAGCTTTCTTTCTTTCTTTTTTTATTTGTTTATTTTTTTTTAGCTCCCACTTATGAGTGAAGACCTGCAGTAATTCTCTTTCTGTGCCTGGCTTATTCCACTTGACATAATTTTCTCCAAGTTCAACTGTGTTGATGTGAATGGCAGAATTTCATTCTTTTTTATGGCTGAATAGTATTCCATTGTGTATATATAGCACATTTTCCTTATCGAGTTGTCCAACGATGGGCATTTAGGTTGGTTCCAACTCTTGGCTATTGCAAACAGAGCTGCAATAAACGTGGGAGTGCAAATATCCCTCCAACATGATGATTTCCTTTCCTTGGATATATACCCAGCAATGGAATGTCTGGATCATATGGTAGTTCTACCTACAGTTTGAGGAATCTCCATACTGTTTTCCATAATGGCTGCACCAATTTGCAGTCCCATCAACAGTGTAGGAAGGTTACCCTTTCTCCACATCCTCTCCAGCATTTATTATTCTCTGTCATTTTGATAATAGCCAGTCTAACTGGGGTAAGATGATATCTCAATGTGGTTTTGATTTGCATTTCCCTTATGTGTCTGTTGCCCATTTGTATATCTTCATTTGAGAAATGCCTATTCAGGTCCTTTGCCCATTTCTTAATCAAGTTATTTATTTATTGCTGTTAAGTTGCTGGATGCATAGCTTGCAAATATTTTCTCCCATTGTGTAGGTTGTCTTTTTACTCTGTTAACTGTTTCTTTGGCTGTGCAGAAGATTTTTAGTTTGAGGTAATCCCATTTGTTTATTTTTCTTTTGTTGCCTGTCTTATTCATAAAGTCTTTACCCAATCCTACTTCCCGAAGTGTTTCCCCTATGATGTTTTTAAAGAGTATTTTAGTTTGGGTCTTATATACGTAAGTCTTTAATTCATTTTGAGTTGATTTTGGTATATGGCAAGTGGTACAGATCTAGTTTCATTCTTCTACATATGGATGTCCAGTTTTCCTAGCACTGTTTATTGAAGAGGCAGTCTTTTCCCCAATGTATGTTCTTGGTGCCTTTGTTGAAGATCGGTTGGCTGTAAGTATGTGGGTTGATTTCTGGGTTCTCTATAAT